CCATGCTCATCCCTCCTCTGCAACAGAGCCTCGTGCCCTCTGTGTTGTCTATTTTTGCTCAAGTAGCTCTTAACTTGTACAGAATAGAATTGAAAGCTACTGGAGTGCTTCAGCTGTGTTTGCTGGATGAATGAAGAAAGAACTGCCGTACCTTGTTGTACAGGAAGACCCCGAGGATGGCTGTCATCATGCCCAGGACGTTGGTGCTGGTGACGGGGTTGCGCAGCATGATCAGGGACACGGTGATCACCATGATTCTCTTGGTGGCGTTGGCCACAGAGTAACTGAGGGGGCTGATCAGGTTAAGGATACTGAAGGCAATGACATTCTGGGCAAAATTACAGAATCCACTGATTATAAGCAGCATCAAGGTCCAGGACCAATGAGACATCGAGCTCTGTGGCAAAGCAAACAGCAGGAGAGAGAAATTATCTCGGGTTTCAGGTAACAACACAAACACGGCCTGGGGCACTTACCTGCCATTGGAGGAGGAATGTCTGCACTGAGATCTAAAGGGGCCCCCAAGTTGCTTTATGCAACTCCCAACTCAGAGAAACCAGAGGACATTCTCCACACACTCTGGGAGAGTTTGTTTCTGTCTCCAGCTTCAAACTCCTGAAATTTATGCTGTCCCAGAAACTGCCTCTCCTAACCCTGACGGGAATTCTCAAAATAAACACTTTGTTAACCATGTTAACTCGAGTGAAACAATCTGCAGGTGTTTCACAACACCAGAACTACACTGCAACACTTCCGTGCACTTTTCTGCTTGGGTGCTGGGGTTTGTTTGTTGGGTTTTTTCCTCTTTTCTTTCATAACAGCGAGCAGTTCTCCAAACACAGCACTTACCAAGTCATTCTCTACCAAGAAGGAAGAAAGATCCACCAGAACCCACGTTGGGATCATGAAGAACACAGCGTGGCACCCGAGGATGTTCAGCAACCGAAGATGATGAATTCGGGAATCTCTCAACACCTGACAAGAGCCATTATTGAACAGCAGTCAGGAAACAGAAACTGCTTTAGGGGACAGGTAAGTTAGGAAAATTAAAGGTAAATACTCTTGTAGTAGGAAAAACTGATGTCTGATAAAAAACTGAAGAACTGATGAAAAAAACAATTGTTTTTTGAGTGGTGGCTCTTAGTACCAACAAGATATTAATATTAAAATTAATACTTAATTAAATTAAAATTAATTTTAATGCTCTACAAATCAGAAACCATTCTGTAACTAAATAGAGCCAAACTAGACACTTTAATTTTGTTTCTGTGGTTTCAAGGAGTGCCCAGTCTTGACAGTGACTTGTTCAGCACAGAGGAATGATTTGATATTACAAGATACATTAATAAAAGCTTTCAGTGAACTGTTGAATTTAAGCACTATTGAACTGCCATCAGAAAAAAAAAAAATCCATGTTGAGGAGTAAGGGAAGGGCTCAGGATAAACTCAGTATAACAGCTTCAACAGGTAGGAAGAGCTGCAGGGAACACACACAAAGTAACAACCATCCCTCTGAGCTCTGACTGCAAAGCCAGCTAGAGAAATGACACTGATGTGAGATTACACCCAGTCCTGCTGAAGGACGACACCAGTGACCAGTGCTGTGAGCAGAGCTGGTACCTTCTTCGAGAAGATGTTCTGAAGTGAAAAGCACAGAGTAGCAGCAAGTGCACTGATGAGTCCCCACATGTCAAAGGACAGCTCTGTGACCGTGGCCAGCAGGACTCCCGTGATGATGGGGATCAAAGACAGGTACACCTGCAGCAGGGACAGAGGGGTAAATTGCATCTGCTAAGAATTTTCAACTAAGGTTACATATCCTGCTGATTTAGAGATTAACCATTCTACTGCTGTAGTTCAAGGAAATTTAAGTCACTGCAGTAGACACTGACAACTCCAGTGCATCAGACAGCATCACCCATTGTTTAGATGTGTTTTACACTCACAATGAAAGGAAAAGATATTGTTAAAATCTGCATAATCTAATTGCAGTCACAAAATCCACCCAAAGCCTGAGCTCTGCTGTCCCCAGCCAGCACAGCCCTCCCCAAGCACTGCTAAGAAAAGAAACCTCAGCAAACCTGTCCGCACCTTCGTCGTCTGCTTTTCCTTCATGATGATCCGTGACAGCAGAACCACCCAGATCGGCATCGTGGCTTTCACTGGGGACGGGAAGAAAACATCGGTGGGGACCTGAGGCTTGGGACAACTCCACCAACCACCATGAATAAAGGAATGGAGCAGGGGCTCAGCCAGACCCAGCACAGCCCAGGACGGGTCCTCCCTCCCTGTCACCGTCCTGGACATTTGTACAGGCTGAACCTCGGTGCTCTGGGACACCGTGCTGCTGGTGCAGCACACACCGGGGACGGGGACACCGCTCTGGGCACCTGTAGGAGCACACGGCGGCTACCGGGACACCGCACCAGGTGCCCAGACGAGCACACACCAGGTTTCGGGTCACCTCCACCGGGCACGAATCCGAGCTGGCCCCCAGGACACCCCCCCCGGGCACCCCCGGCCCTCACCTGTGTGCGCGTAGGACACGGGGACCCTCCAGAGCGAGACGTGCGCGGACACGGAGGCGAAGTACTTGCCGAAGGCCAGCGGGAGGATGTAGCGGGGGTAGGCGCGGGGCGGCAGCTGCGCGGGGCCGGCGGGCGGGACGCGCCAGGCGCGGAGCAGCGGCGGCAGGAGCCCGCACAGCCCCAGGATGTGGAACAGCGAGA